GCAAGCATTCTGAAGCTTGTACAAAGAACGATACAATAATGCAAGGTAAGGTAGCCAAGGGAAGTGAATAATGGATTCTTGATATTGGGCATGTGGAATGGATACATTCTGTATAATTAGATAGATAGATGGATGGATGGATAGATATATAGATAGATAGCTAGATAGATACTGTAGAAAGTTTGAAGTGAGTAGTGACTTCCTTCCATCGCCACAGGTGGGGATGGCATGGTAAGCTTCCAATGCTTCCCCAGGAGCTCAGGCTTGGAAATGACATGGACCAGTGACATGGGTTCGATGAACTTTAGAATACCGACCTGCTCAGCTTTGGGCGTGGCCAATTTCCAGACTGAACATCTCGACAACGCTCAACTTCAAGGATGTCGATACATTTCACTAGTGCAATGTACCCATCCCACCATCCCACCATTTTCGGGTCTCTTAGCACCTCGCCGCGCGGCGAGCGCGAGGCTTGCCTGACTGTCGGCAAGCTGAGACGATGAGTGAGCAGGTGGTTGGTGGCCTCAGGCACTTTTCTACGGTAGCAACTAGTAGCTCCACTTTTTCCAAGACTGAACAACACCTGTGCTTCTTTCTTTTTGACTCTGGTATCCCTAATCAAAATAAGTTCTTTTGGCGACATCCAACTAGTGGAGTCAATTTGAAAAGCTGGTCCCCGAAGCCCACCATTGCCAAACACGATGGAATCCTGCGGCGGAGCCAGCCAGTGGACCTTGGAAGAAGAGTTATGCCCTCACGTCCTGCTGGATTGCACAGCTATTGAGAGAATGAGGTTCCTGAAGGAGACTGCTGCTCTTCCGTTAGCATGATAAAAATGCATGTGGGATGCTGTGGGATCATGCATATAACATTATATACCTGTCTCGAAAGGACCGAGCCACCCCCTCTCTACCCCAGTCAGGTGATCTGGTTGGGCCTCAAAAGGAGCGTCACCCACTGTGATCGAACGAGGTGCAAAGTGCGGAGCTACTGAGCTACGAACGCTTTTGTCTCTATACCTGCAAGTCTGGGACACCCAGAGCATCCCAGAGCGCCCAGAGATGACAATGGCACCATCAGTTGTGAGTAAAGTTGCTTTCCTGCGTGGGTAGCTGCTAGCGCTCAGGGGAAGCCTGACTTGCAAAGCTCAAAAGAGAGTCTGACCTTCTCCTTGAGCTGAGGCCTTTGTTGAGACAGGAGATCAAATCCAAAGTCGACTGCGTACATCTGAGCCACGAGGAGGTGACGTAGCACCCTCAAAGAACATGCAGGAGTGGTGATGTCATGGGGAGCTTTGCATATTTTGGTCATCCAATTTCCATCAATTTCCCATGTGCTTTTGCCGCTGCCAGCGTCAGCATGACGGTCCAAGGCACGATGCACAGAGCCCCTCCTCCAATGGCCGGGAAATCATCTACGAGGCTGAACAAGTGGGCGGGGTTCCTTCGTGGGTCAAAATCTGGGAGTCTTGTTTTTGCTTTTCGATTCCTTGGTTTGTTTAGTTCTTCCAAAATGTGGGAAGTCTAAAACTCATGTATTCACAAACATTTCAAAGACGCCAAGAGGTTTGGGATGTGCTTTTGGCTTTTAGCTGGGAAGAGAGGTTAGGCAGAGCTTGTCCACCCAGGTTCTTGCTTTGCTTGGGCATCGTACCTTGTACTTCCGACTGATTGATTTGCGGACAATTTTCATCTAAATCCAGCTTAGGCAAAGGTGTGAGCTCTTCTAGAGAGGGAAGCGACAGGTTTCAGTCAGACATGTAGACATACATAGTGACACCTCATTCTCAATTCCTGAGGGCTGCCCCCAAAGGGTACCCTAGACCCGTTGTGTTTGCCCCTTTGCTGAGGCACATCCTTTGACCAAGGTGGGCCCCATCTCGAAGTTGGTGCCACTGCCAGAGGTTGGGAGCAAAGCAGCTCTTTCAATAGCAATCTGATGCTCCAAAATGGACATCAACAAGCTTTTCAACGATGTTGGCTCCTTGGGTCCTTTGGGCAGTGTCCACGTCCACGGCCCGGAGGCTGGGGCACCTTCCCTGTGTGCGTCCCAAGGCATCCATGCTGGGGCTCAACGCGGCGATGACGTCGCCCCCCGAGCGGTCCGGAGAGACGGACATCGACGGGACACTGTGAAGAAGGAGCCCCGTTCGTAGCGTCCTTGTTACTACGTTCGTAAGGCACCTGTTACTACTAGCGAGGCACTTGTTCCTAATAGCGAACCTTGTTACTACTAGTAACGAATGTGGGGATGATGGTATCAAGTATCAAGACTGGATCTATTCAATCCTCCTATTTTGTCCCTTTTTGGATCCAAAGGACCAAAGGATCATTCTTCTCAATGCCCAATGCCCTTGCACTGTTCTGTTTTGTTGCGGCTTTTTCATTCACCTTTCGTTGGCTTGGGATAGGTGGCTCTTCAGCCAATGGCCACGACTTCACTGCAGGTCGGATGCAGTGGCTTCAATTCGTGGGGCCTTTGCTAAGCTCAGGCAGGGTTGACAAATGGACAACATCTTGAGGAAAAGGGACATGTGGCTTGATGAGGCTGACCGAAGTGATTTTGTGAAATCCTCCCATATGAATATTCATCCTAAACATTTCGAGGCCCTTATGAGCAGGTTGGCTCATCCAGGTGGGAAGTCTTCTCGTCCGTGTAGATGTAAGATAACTTGCTCCACAAAGGATCCATAGACTATCCTTGACTATTCAACCGATGCTGACAAAATCTAGCAGTGATTAAGTTTTGACAAGGGTCCTTCCTATGTGCGCTCAAGCATTGTAATGAAACTCCATGTTGACGTTGATCACTTTGAACAATTGCTGAAGCACTTGAGTCGTTGCAAGCGTCTCAGCAGGACCTTCGAAGCAGAAAGCGGAGGCCAGACTGAGTTTGCTTCAAGAGTTCATGTCGAGCATGCGGCAGTTTCAGCTGAACAAAAAGAATCCCATGCGACTTCACCTGATCTTTCGGGAAGTTGTTTTGCTTCAGGCTTGGGAGGTCGTTTCGTGCGCCGGGCAGGTATCAGCTCATATACGCTGCCTAATGCGGCCAAGGTGCGTTGGAAGAACCCCCCAGCAGCAGAATCGCGAGAGTGCTGATCGTCAGACTAGCTGCTCCTATCTCTTAACTCTGCAGAAACCAAAGAAGTTTCATGGCTTGTGCTTTACCCGTTGTAACTAGCAGGGCCCGAGATGAGCAACGGCAAAGCAAAGGCTCTACGACTCTACGTGTTGGGGTATAACCATCCTGTACCTTTCGATTTTCAATTGTTGGAGCACCGGCTTAATTCACGGAGCGCAGCTTTTGATCCATTCACACTACTCCAAATGCTGGAAGGCAAGTCGAAGCAGTGCAAAACCTGGAAATTCTGGTGTGTCTTCAGACCATGAAAGTGACTGTGGCAACTCACTAGCTTGAAGGTGAGCCATGAACAAATCTGAAACGTTATGGACATTTTATGACCCGTCTCTTTGTCAGGCACCCTCTCTTTGTGTCTGCCACTGCGGCTCGCATGTAGACCGTTGGGACCTTCAGCCAAAGTCAAAGGGCATAGGATCGTCTTCTGGCCTTAGGCTAAAGCAGCTTGAGAACTGTAGACCCATATCCTGGCTGTCCAGCAGCAACTTTTGCTCGGAATGCATATCCGAGGCTTCAAGCAGAGCGAGAGTGATGGGACTGTCTACCCAAAGCCAAAGAAGGTGCTTGCCGTCCGTGCTGTCGGATTGAGCTCTTGGTGTTCGCATCTGGAATGATTGGAGCCTTGGCCATTGTCTGGTTTGACTAGAGACGGGGTCGTCACTGTCAAGCCACCCGGCTGGACCTTTCCTTCGTTCCTTTTCCTTTTTTCTCTAATAGTGATGGCCTCCAACCTGCTCCAACCTAATGGTGATGTCCTCCACCCTAGTAGCCGTTTTGGGACTAGGGGCTCCTGGCCTTACTACTAGGAACAAGAAGCTACTAGGGGCTCCTGGCATCGACGGTTCTGACTCTGACGATCCCGATGCACTCCGCCAGATGCCGCTGGCGGTCACCTCACCCCGTGCGGCCTTGGTGGAGCCTCCCCCGCCACCGCTACCTCCGCAGGGGCCGTCGGGGGTGTTTGTGGAGGGTTTGAAGGAGAGCCAAGGAGACCTTGAAAACAACGTTCATGTTGCGAAAGACTTGGATGATTGGAGCTCCACAAGCCTTTTGACCCTTTCAGACCAAAAACCTCATGGACACTATAAGTCATGATGGTGGCACAGGGCATCTGCTCCACATCTCCAAGTGGTCAACTGCAGTCATCTCAACTAGAAAGGGACCCGCAGCTGCTTCTTTTGAAAAAAGCACGCGCTGCTCCAATCCGGTCGTCAGCATGGCCTTACCCAGGAGTGGCCGTACATGATCATGCAACCTGCTTGAGGTGCAAGGCCAAGTATGTAGGATGGCCCCATTCCTCGAGCGGCAAGAGTCCTTGTGCTTTCCAGGATATCGACTCCGATTACGGAGCTTTTTGGCATTCAACACCCTGCACCTCAGACGCATGATAGCTTTGTCTCACCTTATCCTTGTGATTTCTAGTGAGTGGCATGCAGGGTGCTGCTCGAAACCTTGCGATTGCCATCATACATTCGTGACCACGCTGGCAATTTCTTTGGTTCTTGTGAGAAACTTAATGCATTATTCTGGGCCTTGGGCCTTTTGAACGATCTCCACCAAAAAGAGGTGCTGCTGGCGGGGATGAACATCGCTGCGAGTCCGCAGCTGGCGGCGGCCGTAACGAACGCTGGTGGCTTGGGGGGTTTGGGGCGGCGTTTTCTACACGCCCAAGATGTTCAGAGCAAAGCTGAAGGACTTCTAAACACTGTGGGGTGGGGATTCTGAGCAGGCGAACGGGGAAGGAATGGAATTCATACTGCGAATGACATGCGCCCACCACCATAGGTCTTGGGAGAGGACCCTTGGTGATCTCCGACCTGCCATTCTCGAGGAGCTGAAGGAACACTTGAACGATCCCAATGCTCCCTTTGGCGTGGATCTTTTGCCACTTGGAAGAGACGAAGAGACCTGCGCACGAGCACATACGAGCACATACGATCACATAGGAGCAGTCTTGCACGTCTCAGTGTGTCATCCAACGAAAATTCGGAGAACCGAATATAACTAAATTCTTATTGTTACTAGTAGTAAGGCACTTGTTCCTAGTAGCTTCTTGTTACTACTAGTAAGGCACTTGTTACTAGTAGCGATGCACTTGTTTGTTCCTGATGTGTCTTCCAAGTCATATTTTTTGGCACATCAGGTCCAGTGGAGTTCGGTGCAGACTGTTTTTTGGACTGGGTGGAGGCCATCGCTATTAGGTTGGAGGCCATCGCTACTAGTAACAAGAAAGCTCCTTAGTAACTAGAAGCTACTAGGTGGAGGCCATCGCTTGACCCTTCGGCATCTTTGACACACCAATTTGATGGACCAAGGCTACCTCAAGTTGGCTCTGGCGCACGTGCCACGAATTACGACTACACCAAGGGTGACACTTGGCCAAAAAGCTCGATGACGTATGTTGAACCTCAATAGTACCTAGTTGAAGACGGGAGACTTTGTATATCTTTGTGTTATCTATTGTTTTGTTTTGTGGCCCTTGGGTTAGTAAGGACACTGATATGTTGTGTTGGACAGCTCTGTGAAAGGACCAGGCCGACTGGTCGACTCGAAAAGGCTTTCCGATTGGCTCAAGGACTTGCCCGAGCTCATCGATATCACCATTGTTGCCTGGCGTCTTTTCTCGGGTCGGACGTGAGGTCCAGTAGTTCACTGGACGTGACTGGATTGTGGACGATTGGGAATTTGGTCCTGTATTGTCTATGCAGCCAAGCACTTTTGAGTTTGACTTCCACTTTCGACCCATGCTTGGAAGATCTTGGAAGCCTTCATGGCAGCCCAAGTCAAGGAGTGTATTGATGGGGGACACACTGTTGCATGCAAGCAGGAGCAGGGCTTGATGCAGTGCAAATTCATGCAAGTTTGTGACTCTCAGAACACACAGTAGAGAACTCTGAGAACTAGTGATGCTAAAGTAAGCATAATATATTCTTTGCCCTCACTTATGATATCGGACGCGACCGAGCTTGATTATCTCCCCGGACTCGTTAGCTCGCGTCCGAGCGTCCATCACTCATTTGGGGACCAGATTCCGTGGGGGTGGTAGCGGGGTAGCCGGGTGGGTATGAGACTTGGTGATGCCGATGTCCGAGGAAATGGGTGCCAAGCTTTTTTGTGAGCGCTGTGGGCGTCCCTCCCAAGTTCGTGGTGGATAAATTGCACGCAGCCGGAATCCCTGCCGCTTGCATTGATTGCTATTCAGAATATTTGTTTGAATCTGTTTCATGATACTGTGAATGAGATGCTTGTATAAAATCCTGTTGTTGGTTGAAAAACATAGTGAAAGCACGTAAACCTCCGAAATTGACTGGCCTATCTCATGCGGTGCCAGAGTTCCTCCTCAGCAATACTATGACGCAGCTAAGCATGTCAGGTGTCCCAACAACTCCAGCTCTTTATTCACAGGATACAATCTTTGGCCAACAACAAGCAATGTTCTTGGTGTCTCCATAGCATTGGCCTGTGTCGCAATGGAGATGGGCTTGCCAAAAGGCCTGACTCTACATCAACAGGCATTTGTAGATTTTCGGTTGTTTGGGTGTTCAATCCCTCAACGAACAAGGGGCACCAAGGTATGCTCGAATCAATGTAAAGCCCCCGCGATAGTGCCTTAAACCACCAACATTCTTTCACTGGCTTCCTCTAACTAGAATTGGCTAGAACTGATGTCAAAGTGGGCACAACATCCGACATAAGCGGTTCTGTCTTCGAGACGAAGATCCTTTTGAGACGAAGCACCTCCGAAGCCTGCCCAGAGCCCAGGTGATGAACATGGTCGGGGCGCCGAAGCATGTGGCGAAGGCACTCGAGGCGTTGAGCCCCGCTGTCATATGAGACTGATCACTTTTGAAGTGCGAGAGACTGGAAGTTGCTTTGGTGCTTTCTTGTTTTTCTTTGGACTTCCTAGGGGCCCAGATTTGACAAGGAAGAACCTTCCTTACCAAGCGCTCTGGCACTGGAGATTCACCATGGAATTCCTGCTTGAGCCCTTTGTACGCATAGTACATACAGTAGCTTTCAGCTGAGATTTTCCTCGTGTGCCCACTGTTGATGTGTTTCAGGCTCCATTATGAATTTGAAGCTTGAACGCATATCAAACCGATGGTTGCGAATCAAGGGAACACCACACGCAGCACCCAGTAGTGCTGCTTTCCTCAAGTTCAACGGCGTTCCTCTTGACTCAAACTAATAGCGATGGCCTCCAACCTACTATATAGTATTAGTATTTGTTGTCATTTAGCAGCTTAGCACCTACCTCGCCCTTTGGTCCCTGGCAAAGCGGTCTGGCCATGGCGTTGGCGTCAAATGATGCTCATCCTATTACTCAATTACGCTCTCCGCGCAAGCCAGATGATCCGCTGCTTGGGACTTGGAGTCAAAGTCCATGCAATTCCTGGGGAGGGTGCTCGACCTACAGCGGGATCAGCCACGTGCGAAGCACCAGTAAGCCTGACATAGACTTACTTGATGATCCATCACTTCCGCTCTTCGACGCTGAGCCATTGCCACCACTGCGTGGTGAATCGGACACGAAAAGTTGGCCCGTCTCAGAATGGGCGCAGCTGGAAGCTCCTTTGACCAAGACCAAGTCTGGAGAACCTGACAGATACAAAAACGAGAGCGATGCCTTTTTGATAGAGTTTCGTCGTCGCCGTGCTTGTTTCCATCATTCCACGCAGAGTCGGACGCAAAAAAGATACCCATAGCTGGGTAACAAAGGCTTTCAGCATTGGATGATTTTCTTCGATCTCTTCGATGCCCTGTGGTTTCCTTTGATCGCAGGTCTAGTGAGTCTGGTGGTTTTCCATCGACTCTGCGGCAAAAGCCGCAAGAAACTTTTGGATTTTTCATTTTCCATTTCCCACTTCTCCAGCCCCACCCACCCAAGCTTGGGTGTTTGGCTGCCAGTGTTTGTTTTTGCTGACAGCTGGATCGCAAGAGTGCCAGCGTTTGTCAGCTGTCGATACTTCCATATTGTTGGAGGGACCATAACAATTTTTTTTAAAATGCTTTGCAGGTGAAAAAGATCCAAGTTTGAGTGGTTTCTTGAACAACTTTCAGGCCTGTGAGGGTAACTACTCTTGTTATGAAGTCTGCATCAAAGCATCCGTTCACTTGGTATCTCAACAGAGGGAGGTGCTGAAGGTGAGCAGGGAGTAGAGCTTTTCTTGGTGCCGGCCTGAGAGCTTGTTTCCAGGCGGGCGTGGACATTATTTGTGCTCAAGGCGGTGAAGGTGGAGGACACACCGGTGACGTCGCCACAAGCCTCCTGACAGGAAGGTTCTCTTAGAAAATTTTCAGCTGTCGAAGGTCTCTCACTTTGAGAAAGAAGGTTACAAATGAGCAAAGTAAAAGAAGAAGATGAAGAAGAAGAAGAAGAAGAAGCAGAAGCAGAAGAAGAAGGAGGAGGAGGAGGAACACAAGGGCACCCTTAAGAATAAGGCCCCGTTCCCTGCAATCCCTTTTCTACGCCCCTTCATCAGCGAGCACATCGGCCTCTCCTCTTTCCCAGTCGTGTTTCTCCTTTTGCCGTTGGGAGTTGTAATATTTTTCTTTCTATGCCATTGTTTGCTTCGGCTTTGCTTTGGCATCCTCCTTCAGAGCCAAGTGAGAGAGACGAGTCCAGAAACATTTGGAAGCTGACCGGACAGTGTAGGATATCTGGGAACCTCGTGGCCATGGTCACGCCGCCGAGGCATTCTGATCCCCATGGTCGTCGACACCTGCAAAGGATACAAGTCACCTCTCACAGGCGCTTTAGCTGCACTTAGTTAGACTTAGTTGACAATCGTGACGCACAGTGATGCGCAGCGATGCACAGTGAGGCAAAGTGTCAGCGATTTGAGAAGCAATGCATTATACCGCATTTGCTTGTTCCAAGGCTTTTCAACCAGAGCTATCGTTTTCCCAGAACTACCGTAAGTCCGTTCATTGACCATATCTATATAAGTTAGTCATATGTTGACACTGCGAGTCTGCCCATGTCCCAATGCTTGTGATAGTCGGCAAGAGCTCCTCACCCATCCAATCAGCTTGTCTTTCCCTCGCCCTCGAGGAAAGCAAGTGCCCGTGATCGCGGCGGGTGGCATTTGCGATGGCCGACACCTGGCCATGTCCATGGCGCTTGGTGCTGATGCGGTGTGGGTTGGAACACGCTTTGTGGCATCCGTCGAAGGCGGTGCACCGAAGGGACACAAGGTGCGCAGTGGGCGTGGGGCGCACGTCCATCGCCGAAGCTCGCTCAGCTGGAAAAGGTGATGAAGAAGGATGTGACTGATGCGGACCTTGAACATAAATAGAAAGGATCGAACTTCATAATATACTTTGACTTCAAGTGCTCACCCTGTTCACCCTGCCAGTCTACATAGATTAGATAGTTAACATATCAGACATTCTCACATTCCGCAAGGTTGGGTACTTGGGTACCTCCACAAATGTAGCCTTTGTGCCTACCAATCATGCAAGTACCCATCTCACTTTTCCACCGACAACGGTGAGGAGGATGTGGTGAAGGCGGGTGTGCACGACACCCACCGCACCGAGATCTACACCGGCCGCCCCATGAGGCGGGTGGTAGGGTCACGAGAAGCCGAAGCGAAGCCTGTGATCTTGTGGGTGTAGAAGAGACATAGGGAGAGAGGACATGCAAATTTCTTTTGGAGTATATAAGCAGTTTGGTGTCGGTGTCAGCCAGGATCATCAAAAACAAGTACTCGGAGAATTGGGAAGTGGAGCGAAACAAAGAGATGCGTGATCTCTTGAAGAAAGGCGTCATTCCCTACACCACTGATGTGGAGCTACTCGAAGAGAAGGTGAGAGCTGAGACTTTGAGGGCTCATTGGTCATCGAGGTTCTTGAGTGCATGTGGACCCCAAATTCATGTACTCATCCTGTTTCTGTCATCTACCTTTGAGGAATGGACAGGTGATGTTAGCGTGCTTCTTTTTCCAGGGGTTCTTTTGATCTGCGCCAGGCGGAGGGAAAGAAGCAGGATGTGCCCACGCCGGTGGGTGCTGATGCCATACATCCCTGGCTCTGCGGACAGGTGGCGGGAATGATCAAGGACATTCTTCCGGCCAAAACCATCGTGGAAAACATGGTGGTGGAAGCAGCAGAGATGCTCCAAAAGAACGCTACCTGCGTGTCCTTGCCCTCTCGTTTGTGAGGACAGGACCTTGAGTACGTCAGAAAAAATCGGTGTGAAGACCGTTCGCCACTCGGGGATGAGGATCCCTGTGAGGCGCCAAGGATAGACTTGTGCGATTTCGCCCAGGAGAAGCGGAACACGGCCCCAAATCGATGTGATTGATCCTCAAAGAATATCCAATTGATTTGGCCAGTCCTGACGAAAGTAGTCCCCAACACTCACCTCAGTTTTCTGGTCCATGCTCATGCTCAGGCCCAGTGCGCTTCTTGTTGGAAAGAACAGAGGTTTTGAGTCTCAGGCTCGTTCAAGATCCATTGGTTGCGAGGGGGTTCTCAGAATATTCTATTGCAGTTCGCCTCGTTTAGTACGTTCTTTTCCAACTCTTTGAGATACCCCGTGCGCAGCTTCGACTTGAACTGCTGGAAGCTGGGAAGGTATCTTGTGCCACCCATCTCCGGCCAACTCACCCCTGGTGATGCTGTGAAAAGAAGTGCGACTGCGATTTGGGGTCCAAAACCTCCCATTTGTGGCACGACAATGTAGCAGCTCGGAGTGTACCTCATCGGACATCGGCTAAAGCTTGGGGAAGAAATGGAAGAAACCCTTCAACTAAGGCTGCACTTTTTCTGGGTGCTGCATGCAGAGAGACGGCCAGTTCATCGTTACCCATAGAGCCACCAAAGCATCGTCTGCATGTGCAAGTTGCCCAGAGTGCCAGAGGTCGGACGGGTGTTTGGTGCCACCTTTTGAAACCTGTTCTCCAACAAGCAATCAAGTGATACAGGTGCACACAACTTGGACCAATCTTCACATGGGCTGTCACCACAACGCATGTTTCCTTCATTTTCCTTTCCAACACCTCCGGGTTGCATCATCCCTTGTTCTTTCCAAACCGGCTAGATGGTTGCATCATCCTCTAAGGCCACCGCCGGCTGAGCTTCCTAAGCCCTGGATGCCACCTGCGAGCCCTCAGGAGAAGTGACTCTGTTGCTCGTACTGAGAATGTTCGGCCGCGCGCGCAGCCTGGAAAACTTCCCTCCACGTCCAGGAGCCCCTTGTAGCGTCCAATGGAAGTGGTCAATGGGCCAATGGGTACGAAAACAAGTTTCAACGGTGACACTCCGTGCAGGTCTTGAAGAAACAATCACTGGAAGCAAACAGTTGGACGGACAAACCAGCAAAACAGAGTGTGATGCAGACGTCAAAAATGAAAGAGGGCATTCCGTGCAATCTGTGACAAGAGCTGCCGACATACTGGAAAAGCTGTCAGCATGCAAAGTGCAACTTATTTTGAAGAGCTGTTTTCCGCACATTTTTGCAGCAAATGCGCTTCTATGTGGTCCCCGACAGGGAGTTTCGGCATGACTTGGGGCGGAGCAAGCACACCGTTTTAAGTACCTTGGTGCTTTAGGATCCAGGGGCTGATATTCGTGTTTCCTGCGACTTGGGCAGTCTCATCAAGATTCAAGCAAGAGATGCCTCCATTGCAGCTTGTATCCATCACAAACCGTTGTATTCTTTGGACCAGCGGAGACAATGATCATTATGTTAGTTGGAGGCACAAGTTTGAATCAGCTTTGGGCCAGTTTTTGGGTGTATCAACACGCGGGAGCTCCTTGACCATTTGCCTTCTGACAGGAACTTCCAGCTCTGCCTCAGGTTGGGGCAACAAATTCTGCTTTGCTGCCGTCCTTGAGCCTTGAGTCCTTTTATCAAAAGTTGGCTGCAACACCTAGGTCATCAAAAGGCCCGCTACTAGTAGCGTGGAAAGACCTATAGTTCTTTGGCCCACATGCTCAAGTAAGACCAATTGGCATTCTTTGTATAGGAGGACTGGACAGATCTTGTTCTGATGGGAGCTGGCTTTGGCTGTTGGGATGGTCAAGAAACATCCCCCTCTCCAGTGCTTGGATCTGCACAGGCACCAGTGGAAGTCTTTGGCCCTCTGCCATTAGAAGAGTTGGGTGACCCTGGCAATGCTTGGGAAGGTTATGACACGCCCTCAGAAATGTCCAGGACTTGAAGGCAAGGCTGGTGACAAAGAGGATTCTCACATGAGCAATGACAGGATGGTAGGAGTGACGGGAATTTTTGTTTGCATCAAGTTCTAGATCCGACAAACCCAGAGGTTGGTCGCGAGTCTTTCAAGTGGTTGATTTAGTGCTGCTTGCCCTGATACGTTGTGCCAGGTATTAAGAAGGCCAGGCACTCAATTTGTGAAGACAAAACTTCATCCGGCCTGCATCTTCAATCTTTGACCATGGCTTCATGAGGGGATCAGTGGCGTGGCCGTGTGGCTGGTGTCCACATAGTTGATCCACTAGCCCTTGTCATTGTCAGGAAGCACCAAGTTTCCTACAGGAAGGCAAGGCAACGGAGGCAGTGGAATCAGAGAAAGAGTTGGATTGATTGCATTTGTTATTTGAATAGTTTTTGCAACTCTGCGAAACATAAACACATGCCCGTAGTGTGTCCTTCCTTGCTAGAGCATGTGGAAGAAAGCTTTTGCCGGGAGCCGCATTGGAGCCCAAACCAATTGGCTATATAAGTATATTAGCCTTACTAGTAGTAACAAGAAGCTACTAGTAACAAGTGCCACGCTACTAGTAACAAGTGCCTTACTAGTAGTAACAAGAAGCTACTAGTCTAAAGTCTAAGTACCTCAAATGGCCGCATTGAGACCTGCAGGGACATCCTGTCACTTGCAATTGCGTGTGCTGAGGGGCTAGCGGCTAGGATTGCTTTCGCCGAGTGGCGAATCAGCCGAGGGTCGGAGAGTCACACTGCGCAAGGAGAAAGGACTCTCTGTGAGTTGAGTACCGACCATGAGTCTTTAATGTGCCCGACCATGAGCGAGGGCAAAGCCATTGTAACGCGAACCTCTGGACTCTGGACACTTTTGGTGAAGAGGGCGTCTTCAGGTGCCGCAGAGAGTTTCTAGGTTGGGTTTGCTTTGCAAGTTGTGCCACCAGGCTTGTATGTAGATGTTTTGTCGTGCGGCACAAGCTTTGGCTTGCAGCTTACAACTTCCGAATGTCTTCCAGCAAGGCTTGTAACTCACGAAAGCGCAGCAAACATGTGAAAGTGTTGTTGCATCTTCCATTTTTCGACACATCCAAGAACATTGACTATTGTATATACTATACCTTCTTAATCCTTCTTACACAAGCATCTTGCAAAACAGCGGTGCATGTTCGGTGAGCCAGCTTCAAGATCGCATGGGGCAAATGGGGAGCCCGGCGAAAGCTGCTGTCGGGAGCCTCCTCGACGGGCCAATGAGAGGACGTTGATTTTTGATCTGCAAATCTTTGCTTGATCTCCCATGTGGTTTCGCAAAAGCTCGCATGTGACGAACGGATAGACATTGAGGACAACCATGTCCTCGAGGAGAGAAACCCTTGGTAGACCTGTTGGAAAGCAAGGTCTCCTTGCAGGTCCAACTAATTCCCAACATTTTTCTTTCTAGCTACCACTAGACAAACAGATCTTGAAGTGACCTGTGGCCACAAACCAGAGGACGTGCAGCCTTTTCTGGAAGGTTTCGTGCAACCCCACATACCTGATACAGGTCACAAGAAGTCTTGCTATCAACAATTGTTCCGTCAAAAGCCTTGCAGGCAGCAGATGTGATTGGATACGGGCAGTCATGACATGCACATTTCCGGAAAGCTACTTCATCTGGACCAAAAGAAAATCAAGGTTCAAACAGATTTCTATGGGAATCGAAACGTCTTGTGACCACTTGCCCCAGTGCTGCAGTGCAACAATGCGCGAACACACCAGATCGGGTTTGGGTGCGGTGTCAAATGGATGGCGAAAGCACTAATGCCCTACTTCTTGTGAGCCTGCTCGTTGAACGACGGCCCATGCCTTACACAGAGGTCTTGAAGGTGAGAACATGGAGTGTTGCTATCGCAAGCTGAGCAAGCTGCCTCCCAGGGAGGCTTCGGGAGAGCGAAAAGCTGCAGAACAACGCTCTTTACATTGCATGTTCGTTGGAAGACACGCTCACAGGGCCTTTGGGCGGAAAAGTTCTTGATTCGCCAGAGTGCATACAGGCGGAGTAGGGCCTGAGGCACCTGGACCGGCATGGTGTTGTACACCCAGTCCCTTGGCGAACAGGGCAGTTGTGTGAGCGGCCACAGCTGCGGCATGTCCCGTGAAGATGGTAGTCCCAAAAGGACTTGCCTAACTAGAAGCTTTCTAGTAACTAGAAGCTACTAGGTGGAGGCCATTGCTACTAGTAGCAATAAAGCTTTCTAACTAGAGGCTTCCTTGGGAATCGTTTCACTGGGAAGGACTTGCCCTTTGGGTCCTTGAAGGCCCAAGCATCCGGCCACGACTTGGACTTGCCCTTCTTGCCTTTGCCGCTGTCCTTGGGGTTGCCCTTCACCCCCTTGTCTTGTTTGCCTTTGTCCTTGCCACCACCCTTTCGTGAGTAGCGTTCTTTATTGAATGACGCCATTTGGACTAGACTGCAACTCACCAAATGTTTCCAAAGGCATTTGTGTGATACATGATTTGTGGCGAAGGCTCGCGAAGCCTCTGGCGTAGGCTCTTAGATTTCACACAGGCGAAGCCAATTCGCGAAGGCCAACTTAGAGTGTATGAAAGGTTGCAAAACCAATATGCGAAACCAATTCGCGAAGCCTCTGGTGTTGCGCAAATCCTCTCGAAGCCACCCTTTCGACAAATTCTGACTATGCTTCATCACCTGCATACCACCGTCGCAGGAAGGCGCTGAAGGAAAAGCCACCTAACAGGTTGTCCACAATGCACAAGCGATTTAAAAAAGTCTTTTCTTGTTTGCGTACTGCTGGTCTCTTTGTATTCGTACATCCCTCAAAGAAGAAGTGCTTCAAGTCTTTGGGCGGTGGATGCCAAGATGTGAGCTAGGCTCAAAATTAGCAAAAGTGACGAATAGTCAGTGAGTCGTCGGAGTTCAACATGCACGTCTTGCTCGTGTTGCACGAATCATACATGACGGACGCTCACCAAAACGTGACGGCCGTGACGGA